CTATCTTAACATACAATCACCCATAAATTTAACATGCATTTACCATAATTTCATATTACTATCTGTAATAATTTTACTTATTTTTAACATCTTTATTTTTGAATAATTATAAAATTCGTATTTAAAATTCTCAACAAAATTCAAAAACATAAAAACTTATTTTCAAAACATAAAAATTATTTAATATCCTTCCCTATGAATAATTTAAATAGCTTAAAAAGCGTTACTTAATTTTCTCACACATAATTATGAAAATGAAAAATTACTGAACAAGAATTTCAGATTTTCTCAAAACAAACTGCAGAAATTTTAATTAAAGTTGAAATGAAAACTATAGAATTCGCAGCATATTAAATGATTTAGTTTCTGAGTTAGATTCACACGAATGTAAAAATTTTTGAGCTGTTGAAAAAGTGGAAATGCAAATAATTTTCTGTCGCACATACTTGCAAACACTAACTCAGATCTACCTTGAACCCGCTGTAATGCTTAATTCCAAAACGGTAATGCACTGATGATTTCCTTTTCACTAGGCGTTCCAACTTCTCAATTTATCGAGAGATTACTTTCAATCTGTAAACACTACGCGTGATTATTTTTTTGAAGCACTTGCAAAACACCACAGCAGAAGAATGATCTGTTATCTTTTTACACACTGAAAAAACAAACTTGATGATTCACTTCTTTCACATTATCTTGGATTTATCACAAAACGATGATTTGAACAGCTGAATTAAATTTTCCATTGAGGTTTCAGGCTGCAGGAAACTATCCTTACCGGCTTTATTGGCAAATGAAATGACGGAACACTGTAGATGCGTGATTAGATCCATATTGAAGAATTTTGATTGCGTAGTATTTAAAGAACTTGGCAGTCGAGCAGTTTTACTTCCATTTTATTTCATTCATATTTGTGGCCACAATCACTTGGCACTCTAGTCGTGCCTTTCCACAGAAGATTTACATTTTGATATTGTTAAGATAGAAAGCAAGCCAGCGAAATACATCTTAGCACAGTACAGAGCAAAAGCTGAAGTGCGTAGTTATGAAAGGAAGCACGCGAGAGAAAAGTTTTGTTTACAAGGACAGTTTCATTCTAATTTTACGTCATCAGAGGGCGCGGACCCTAGAGTGATCTAGAAATGACGCAATGCAAGAGGTATCATTTAGAAAGAGAGGACGAATTATGTTTATAGTAATTATAATTTGATTCATATATTTTATCTTACATATATAATACTTTTGCAATTGCATCTTTGTTAGAGTATAAAAAGAGGCTACCTTTATAGATACTGGTTACCGCATTACTAAAAGTCTCTTCTGAATCCAATTTAAATCTTTTTTGCAACCCTTTTAGAGAAAAAGAGTCCTTTATTCTGTCCTTACGTACAGATGTCACGCAAAAACATCGTTAAATTGCATATCAAATGGATCAGATGGTTATTTTCGATGAAATATGATACCCCAAAATTTTCGCGATTAAAATACTTCCTTTACTTCGTACAAGGAAGTTAAAATATGTATATTAAGGGAGATGGATTGTGCTTGCTCTGTTATGAGAGGAAAAATAATCTGCACCACATATTAGAAATACGTTTAAAAAATAATTCTAAAAGGACCTCTGTTTGGGCAGAAAGTAGAATAAGGGCCATTAAAAAAATATACACAATAAAATTTTTAGATTGGGAACAACTAGAATTAGAACTAGAAAAAAAAACCTGAAATTTAGGGAAAAACTAGACTGGAACTGAAAGCATAAGTTACAGCTGGAGAATGAACATGCCGGAACATTATAAACCTCGGTCTTCTAAATATTTCGAACTACAAAATAAATATAAAAAATTTCAAATTACGACATAAGTATTTATATTTAATAATTTTTATACAAATCTAAAACTGGAAACTTGTCCGCCTTTGTAAAAATGAAGACAGCCAACTGGTACATCACTGTTACTTTCCGCATTGAATTAGGAGATAGTGTCGTAAGAATCTTTTCCATAGCGATAATAAAGGAATGATGAAATCAATGTTACGCAATAAAAAAAAAGGGCGGAAGTTGCATATTTCATACCTTAGTAAACATGGACCTTATAAGAGATAGACTAACCCAGTGGGCGGGGCGCACGTCACCGACATGTCTGCTAGAAAGAGTTAGGACGATCTGGTTTACTTTAACACTGAAACCTATAGCGTTTGTATCACATAACTGTTTTTAATTATTAAATGTGATACGTTGTATAGTGATGAGATTATGAAAGTCACAGTTTATTTCAAATAGGATTTAATATATCTCATTAGTGTACTTTTTACTGCATTTCGCGCATTGTTTCCTTGCATAATTCTTGCACAAACATCTTTACATAGGTAAAACGGTAAATACTAAGCACAAATTTTATGAACTTAATTTTGCGTTAAAATAAAGTAAAATTAAATAAGATTGATAGTACGTGATGCTGTGAAATAAATAATGTAAAATTAAACAAGATCTGATAATTTTTTTTTTAATTTCATGAACATTTTCAGGCAGTGATTTTCACAACTATAATATCATTACAAAACGATTATTTATTTGATTATATTATCATTAAATTATTAATATTGAAATGGATTATTTACTTTAGTAATTTATAAAATTCGGAGCATAAAATTTTGAGTGTAATGAAAGAAAAAAAATCTGATGTTGTACACCACATGACTTCCTTGTACGGACGCTTTTATATTCCGGTTAAGGAATATTAAATTATATGCATTTTTTCTTGCATTTCATTTAAACTTATTGGATTGAATTAAATGTATTTCGCCGACAGCGCATAAACCCCAATGGAATAAATGCATTCTTTAAAATTCACGCTAGTATTTGTTTACCATAGCGACACTCTGGCGCTAGATTCACTTAACAGTATTATATTTCGTTCATATTATAACTCATAATTCACAAAATTTATATCATTTAAAGAATAGAATTATCTAATCGTTGCCACATGTTCTATTCAAATACTATAATAAAGCTCGAATGATGTATAAAAGAAATTAAGCAAACAAAACAAAAAAGAAACATTTTTTCACAGACAATTGAGTATTTCTCATTTAATTAATTCAGTTCTCACTTCAAGAGAAGGCAAAAATACATAAAAACTCAAAATATCTATATTAAAAATTACGAAGTAAATCTTAAACACTTATTTCCTCGAAAAAATTCCAGAAAGGATTAAGCATGATTTAATTGGCAATAATAAATGAAGGCATTATCTTTGTTGTTGCGAAGCTAACAAAGCTACAATCAGCTTTTTCTTGACAATTATACACGCTGCAATAGCCAACCATTGTAAGCTTCTGCAAGTCGTCCCTACTCCGCCGGATATGGTCAAGGTGACAGACGGGAACGCGTCAGACGAGGGAGAAAACCCGTTTGGTTTGGTCTGTTTCTTATAAGGTCCATGTTAGTAAATACGCATTTCGTTTCAATCCCCGAAGAACTAGAGAACCTTTATATTTAATTAAAGACTTAAAATTAGTGGATATTTAAAACATTTTTTCAGTGAGATTTTCATTCACATCGGCTGAAATGAATGAAGGCTAAAATGTCTCACTAAAGACCACTTATACTTCATTTAAAATCCTACATTTAAAAAAAAAGAGAGAGTGTGTGTGTGTGTGTGTGAGAGAGAGAGAGAAAATATTATTTAAAAAAATCTGACGTGAGCACCACACGTGACTTCCTTGTACAGACTATTACATTAGTCACATTTTTTGCTACGCTTCATTTAAACTTATTTTCTCTAATTTCATTAGAGATATATTTCTCATTCAATCAATTCAGTTTCCACTTCGCGACAAGATAAAATATCTTCATTAAAAGCTGTAAAATACTCAAAAAAAAAAAAAAAAAAAAAAAAAAAAACTAAAACCCCCAAAACAATTGAAAACATTTTTTTTTTTTTTTTTTAAAAATTAAAATTTGAGTTTCTACGCCAAAACAAACAATTCATCCAACGGGCAGGAAGACGTTTTCGGTGCAAAATATGTTAAAGTTTACCTTTGGTCCCACTCGGCACAAAGACCCTAAAGTTGGAGCAGAGACACTGACTTAATTCACTATTCTACTAAGTTTCAAATGGAAACAAATGGCTACTCCATTAGGATTAGTCCCACTTAAACAACATTTAAATTAAGACACAAATAATACGCCGAACAAATACGAATTCAGAAGTCAAACAACAAAAATCAGCGTTATATTTTCAAATTTTCACAGGACTAGTTTCGATGGTTTTACCGAATCACCATCCTCAGCTGCAAAAGCGCAAATGAACGAGATATATCTCCAAATTTGAAAATATAACGCTGATTTTTGTTGTTTGACTTCTGAATTAACATTTAAATTGTTGATAATTCTACAACTAATTATATGCGTATTAACTAAAGACATAAAATTCTTAACCGCAACATAAGATTAAGATTCAATCACTTTTGAAGAAAAAAAAAAATGGAAAACGTACCAACATATAAGAATGAAAAAACAGAACTTCAGCGAGCCGGGTAAGAGAGTAGATATATACGTAGGTCAGTTAAAAAGTTTGTTGCACTACTGCGTAAATATGTTCAGTCTAAGACTATTTGAAGGACACTGTGTGGCAACACTTCAGACATGTACCTTTATCGCCTAACGAAGCGACTTTCCCGAGGCAAGTTTAGTTTTTCTGATAATCAGTCGCAAACATGTCTCGACAGCTGCAAATAGCGTCCAAATTGGAAATGCGTACTGTGATTCCTTTTTTTGTGGGGAAAAGGTAAAACTGCACTGAAATTTATGGGCAGTTGCATGAAGGGTATGGTGAAAATGCAATGTCACGTCAAGCTATCGCGAAATGGTGCAACATGTTTGAGAATGGACGACGCTGAGAGCGAGGGAAGACCATCAACTGCAACAGATTGGGAAATCGCTCCTCGCTTGAATGAATGCATTCTTGCAAACAAATGCATAACGATAGACGAAATCTCAAATGAACTGGATATTTCTCATGAAAGTGAGCATTAAAATTATTGCTGATCACCTTAAAGTTTGTGCTCGATGGGTGCCACGTCCATTGACAGAGGAACATAAAGGAAAGCGTTTTGAAAGTGCATCTGCATTTCTGCAACGTTACCAAACGGAAGGAAATGAGTTTTGGGACAAACTTATGACTAGAGATGAGACTTGGATTCACTACTTCTCACCTGAAACGAAATGCAGCTCTCTCGAGTGGAAACATTGCAGTTCCCCGACACAAACAAAGTATCGAACTGTTCCATCTGCAGGAAAGGCGATGATGACGCTGTTTTTCGACAGAGAAGACGGGGTGCATACAGAGTTCATGCCGAAGGGTGCCACAATTAATGCATCTTCTTATTGCGAAAATCACTAAAAAATTGACGGCCACGTAAACTGTCGAAAGGCATTGTGCTCTTGCATGACAATGCAAGACCGCATGCAGCAAAACAAACGTGCGAACTTCTAAGAAGTTTAGGTGGGAAGTGTAGAATCACCTTCTTTATAGCCCAGACCTTTCACCTCCTGACTTCCATTTGTTTGGTCCCATGTAACAAGAGCTTTCAAAGCGACGGTGCCATTCGGATGCCGAAGTGAAAGCTGCAGCCCAACAATGGTTATCGGACACTGGACGGGATTTTTTTGCAGAAGGCATCGAAAAACTTGTACCATGCCTCGACAAATGCTTAAATAACGGAGGTAATTACGTTGAAATGTAGATTTTGAATAGAACTTTAAGATATAAATAAAGTTATTGTAAAATTTTGCTCCTGTTTTTTTTTCTTAGGTAGTGCAACTAATTTTTTGACCAACCCTCGTATATTCGTTTGGTGCAGCTGGTTGTAGTGAAAAAGAGAGATGCACAACTAGGTATCATAGCAATCCCATATACAAAATTTCAACGTTCTGCGGCTAGTTGTTTTTGAGTTATGTGAGATACAAAGAAAAAATACCTTTTGAATCCATTTCAAATCCATTCTACATTACGCTTTGGGGAAAAAAGAGTCCTTTATATTGTACGTAGATACAAACGTCAAGCAAAAACATTGTTCAGATGGATTCGAGAGCGGTCAAAATGGATATTTTCCTTGAAATATGATACCCAAAATATTTCGCGATTACAATACTTCCGTTATTTATTACCTATTCGCATGCATCATAAACAACAAGTCTGCACCTGAGAAGACCAAGACTAGAACAAGATGTGATTCCGTACGTCAAATGCGCATAGCCTAGGACCCGGGTTCGAATCCCGGAGAAGGCATGGATGGAAAAATTATCTGTCCCTTCATAGGAGGCAGAGGTGGCCCACCTATTAGATGCCACCATAATAAATAGACCACCACATCTGGCCTTAGGAGTGGCCAATGCTGGCATAGACAAGCGCGCCATTGGAGGGCAAGAAACGCATATCCCAAATAATGGATATTCTGGCATCAAGGGGTCTAGAACTCTGCAACACAGAGTGATCCCACCCAAATCATAATGCAAACAGCAGCACTTCGGCACTAGAATGGTACCGCGGGCCCCAGGAAGGCGTTGCAACTCTGGATACCTAGTGCAAGGGTCCTATAGCTACTTACTCGGGGTAAACAATAGGTGGCCCCTGCACTTATACGTAACCTAACCTAACCTACTTCCGTTACCTTCATACACGGAAGTTAAAAAACAATAAGAAAATGCATCTATCAAAGAGGATAATTGTTTGATTTTGATCATAGTGTTGAAGTTACAACCATCATTAGAAAAATCCTTTCAGAATTTTTTGGTTATCATATCACATTGTTATGTTACTATCTGTATAGTAGTATCGTCCACTCCCTTTGGCAACTATTTTCCCTGTTGCACCATTTAAGGATAAAACGAAATATCCGTACTGTAACTTATTATCCTGCGTTTTTATTGACGTATAACATTTTTTGGGAAAACATACTAATAAATTAAGACGTAAATGAAAATTGGTTTTTCGGCAGAAATGCGCTGTTTAACGCAACACTATTAGTTACAGCATGCTCGGATTTACACCATTGGAAATAAGCCCATAGCTGAAACTAAGGGCTAAAGTACTGAAGTTGGAAAATTGCCAAAGAACAAAAACCAAAAGAAACAGCGTTGAAATGAGAGTGATAACAGTTGGCTAATTCGCAAATTTAATAAATACGAGTAACACAATTAGGAGCACTGGAATGTCAAAGGGAACATACAATTTACCGTCCTTAATTACGTCTCTATGAATAATGTTAATTAATTCGACATCTATGTATACATAACCAACTTCCAGCTATGCGTATGAAAAGTGTATTAAAGTTACTTCTCTATTTGATGTTTAGAAATGACTTCAGAAAAGGTTATCCAAAATATTTGCGTTTTTACATTCGTCACTTTAGGTTAAGCTACTTGTGCCATACATTTGCAAATCTTCTCGTTGCGTGAAACATTACCTTCAGTGTCACTTCAAAAACAGTCATTTCTCAAAGTACTTTTATTGGCTAAAATACAAAATCCTTAATCTATCTCCAGAATTAATGAATTCGTAATTACTTTTTAAAATGAGCGATGCAAAATCAATAAACGTATTTCTTAATCATTAAAATTGTATTTTATTAATCATTAAATCTCCATTCGAATATGGGCATCTGGAAGCAAAAATTTAAACTCTGGAATGAATTTGTTTTATTATCTGCTTCATATTTTGAGAACTTTAACTAATTTTTGATTAATAAACTCAACTATTTCAAAGCGAGCAATGGCAACACTGTATGGGAAAAACTAATTTTTATCTCCAGCGCGCGAGACTGTGTATTGGAAATTCTAAAGATATCTCTTTTTTAATAATTTTGTGATATTGATGCTGAATTGAATTTTATGTTTTTTAACGTAATAATATTTAATACATAAAAGTAACACACAAAATATTTAAAAACGCCCCTTTGGACGTAATATAAAATCCGAAAGCTTTCAAATTGTTTTTATCTTTTAATAATATTGTTGCGGATTACCGATCTCTTAAAGATACACAGAACGAAATGATATGCATTCCGCAAGAGAAGAAGAGAAAGCATGACCTAGTTTGTTTACATTAGCTATACATAGTCGTGTGATCTCAGAGGTCATCTACAGTACATTAGCTATACATAAGTCACGTGGTCTCTGAGGTCATCGAAATATATCTCATTAACAATTTATTATAAAAACTAATTATAAATAACCCAGAAAATAACTCCAAACAGCTTAAGCAGAACGTGGATATCGTGGAACAATTCCTTCTTAAAGGCGCGAGAAATATCGTCGGTTGCTAAAATCACTTGCAGAGTAAACTCACAATCAGCTAAATTGCAAAGTTTAATAACAACTGAAACAGCGACAACAAAATTCATCTGATACTTTGTTTCATCTGATACGCTAGTTTCAGCGCATTATTTTATGCACTATTACTAGCTTAGTAAAGTCCTAGCACGGAATCCTAAACAAAAATCCAAAGTTGGAGAAATGAAGGAAGAAAAATGGAGCCCAGGCCTCATTCATAAAATACAGTCTTGCGAGTAAGAAGCACTTTTGTTCTTCAGAGAGAACTGATGATCTGCAAATGACTAAGATTAAAAGCGGCGGAAATGGAATGTATGCATCATATTCCCGACCTGGGAGAGAGGTGGAAAAGTTCTTCGACCGATTAGGATTGCGAACCATTGTCAGCTGATGAATGCGCCCAATTACGGATGTAGGAGCTAGGAGAAACTCGTTTCTCATCTAAAATAATGAAACTGGAGTAAATTAGTTCGAATAAAGTGGGACTTTTAGTGATAATTAAGGAGAGAGGCATTTCTGAGCAACTCGGAGATTCTCAAACGGCGCCCAATGTGTTCGCTATCAAATCTAGTGCTGCGCTTTACATTTAACACGGCTTTAAGATATCGAAAGTACCTTGCACAGGTGTCGCCTTTGCTTCAATCTTTACCTGTCCAAGAGGCTCTACCGATGCGCAAATCCCGGGGAAAGCATGTAAGTGTATTGTGTCTATGCTGCATGATGGCACTCACAACATTAGCCTGCCAAAGTCCCGTCAGCTGGTTAGAGGAGACCCTTGGACCATAAACTCGATGTGCTCTTTATCAAAATTGGGTAGAGGTGCAGGGTTAGTATAGTAAGACTATACCTGTTTGACCGATGGTGACATTTTGGTGTTCCGTCCATTAGTACTGTCGTACTTGAACAAAAGACTGCATCCCGACATCACTGCGATCGTTGACGTTAGTCGCTTTACGACAAAAGCAATCTTCGTAAAGGATGGCGTGACTGCAAGCCGCTTTCTGTCAGTCATCAAGAAAATGTTCTTATAAGAATCTACAAACAAGAAAATGTTCCTGTTGATATATTGTATTTCCTTGCACATTCTGCAAAATGTCGAGCCTCGTGTTTTGTGGAATCACCACAGCAGGTCTTGGAATGCGTCGGTTCAAGCGCCTTAACATCCGTCTAGATACAAAACCTTTCGTGAAAACATTTGATTGCCTAACATAACGTCGGGGTCGTCTACCAAGAGTATCTTCACAAATTGGTTCCTCACGGCGACAAAGAGTATCATATGCTGATTCATCTAACCGTAGAACGTAAACCATTTTTATTCTTCTGGTCTGAAAACCACTGAAGTTTTGTTTTAATTTTTAAAATTTGTGTATTATTGTGTTATTATTATTTTCTATTTATTATTATTATTATTTTTACTTTTTTTTTGTCACTGAATCGTATTTTCGCCTTTGACGTTAATTACAAAATAAGCACATATGCATTGTTATATAGACAGAAAATGGAAGCTGATAAAGCAAAGGGAAAATATAGAACGCCTTGAGGTTGTAAGAACAACATGAGATATGAAACGTCCATCATCAAGGTGAGTTTTTGGCGGGAAATTGTTGTTGGACATTATAATAGAGGCAGTAACAAAATGGAAAATGCGGCGATAGAAAATAAATGACGCAGAGAAAATAGCTAATGAATTGAATAACTACAAATTCTATATGCAACGTATACAGTGAAATAGCTAGTAAGTACTATTATAATGAATTCTCCGTAAATGTTTATAATGATGCCGCATCATAGTTGGATTATAGGTGACAAGAACAGCAATAATCCGTTCCGTTCCGTTTGCTGTTGTCGCCGCGTCCAGCTTGCAAATGTGCAATATCGGCATATTCAGTTTTGACCTTTGGAAAAATAAGTTGAGTACAGTGGTGGGAATGAAATGTAGAGCATGTTGAATGTCAAGTTATATATAAAGTTGTGCATTTCATACAAACAAGGTAGATTAGTCAAGAATACAAGCAATTATTTTGGAAAAACACAAAGTTTTCATATACTTTTCATAAACATAAACGCCGCCCAACCAGTGTAGTGTTAGGCGTCGCTGACTGCCGTGCCGAAGGGATGGGTTCGAATCCCGGAGAACGCAAGGATGTTTGTAAATGTATAGTGTCCGTTTGGCATGCGGGTATTCTAAATGTGCGGTGTGCTGAAAGGCCTCTCGAGAGGTTTGTTGTATGGGAAGAGCGGTGGGAGATCCTAAGACCCGTCCCTTCGGGTGCTCTCCATCAAAATTGGGGGCGGAGCTGATCTAAATTGTACTGTCACCTGTGAGGTGCTCAAGGCCGTTGCCAGCGACAGGCGTATCTCGCGCTCCTTGCCACGAGGAATTTCGTGAGCTATCGCTGACTATAAGTCAGACAAGTGAGCATTAGTCAACAACAACAACAAATAAACATAAACCTGTACATGTAAAAGCTGCATGGAAAAGAATGAACTGAATTAAATTTACATAAAAAATCCTTTGACACGCAGATCCAGTTTAAATTGGCGTCCAATAAGTTGGTTTTTGGTCGAGATAAATTCCTAGGTATTTTATATTACTAACCAGTGGAAGAATTTCATATTTATGTGATGATGTATTATCATAAAACAAAAATCGCACCTACTGGTTCCAACTCCTGATTCATAGAAGAAAAGATAAATGGGATGAGTTTATACAGATGAATCTAGTATGTTTTAGAAGAGGAATCACAACTTTTGTTCCATTGTAGTCATATTCTCATGAACAGCTGAATGATAACAGCTCACCACCTCTGTGTGATCTCTTTAGATCAATCCAGGTCTGATCGCCTACGCACGATCAGTAAATATCTTCTTGTAGCTCCTTCGTGAGCGTTCCGTTTCTAGAAGTGTAAATGCAGGTTGCGCCATCTGGTCCAAAGTTGCTGTACGATTACACAGTAAAAAAATATTCAATCGGCTATGACTCAACTATGTATTTATGTACCAGCTATATCATGCCCTATGTCATGTATGGAAAGCGTATGGTTGTAACTGTCCGTCCCTTCATAGAAGGCAAAGGTGGCCCACCTATTAGGTGCCTCCATAATAAAGTGATCGCCGCTTTTGGCCTAAGTATGGCCAATAGATGACTTCTGCTCGCCATTGGGAAAAAAAAATATTTTAATTAATTCTTTCTAACACCTGTTAATCCCCTCGAAATATTTTAAGTTATTAAGTAAAAAGTGACTGATAATTTCCCATATTAGTTTAATTAATTCCAATTAATTTAGCGTTATTTTAATTCCCAACTCCTAATTGCAAACAATCCACCTCCAAACAAGACATTTCCAGCAAAAAAAACTTTTGCTATCGGATTTATTTTCACTTAAACCATTCTGTACATTCTGCAAAATTTTAAAGGCAACGATGTGCCCTGTGCATTACATGTAAGTCACTCGATAGAGGAAATTTCTGATTAACGCAAATATCTTTAACTGTGAGGGTCGAAGTTACAAAGGTTTCTCTCATGACAAAAAGAATTCAGTTGCGTTATCTGCCAGACTGATAATCCTTCATTGAGTATCTGCTCTCAACGCGATAAACATACGACAAGGTTTTTATATGTAGATCCGTTAATATCCTCAAGGTTGACTCTCGTAAAAATATTTATGTTTGATGGCGAAAAATTACGCATATTATGCCACCCAAATCGCCATTTGCGAAAGTTAGTGCAAATAATTGCAAGTTATTGATTCAGCTATTCTCGTATATCTAGCGACCTATGGTGTGGTTTTCCTGATTAATCTATGCTATATTTTATGGTGAATTTTTTCATCCCTGAAGAAAAAGAATTCGTGTCAGGTTTTTCTCAAAATGTAATATAGTCAATAACAATGTAATGTTGAATTTTATCAGGGCAAAAAATTATTTTAAATGATAACGCGATTGTGAATAAGGTCATCGAAAGTGCTCAGAAGTTCCCAAACCTGTGCCCGCGTGAATCACTGCCCGCCGATCGTTTAACGTGTGGCCCGCCGCTGTGCGATCACAATAAAAATGCTTTAGTTTTTAACAAAGTTCTATGTGAAAGTTTTCTCATTTTTAATGAAATAGAAATTGCGTTCAACACAGATACCAGTACAAAGCGAAATGCGACCGATCTCTTTTTTTATGCTCATGCATCCAACTATAAATTCACCTTGTAAACAAAAATGGCACCCGCCATGCAATAGATATCCTAAAATATGTTCTTAGGGACAAAACGGTTGGGGGATCCCTGTGATATCTTATATGGAGTTATTTATATTATATCTCTCGTGTGGTTTGCCATTACTAATTACTCAACTTAGAGACAGATTTATATTACTTTTATATTTACTGTATCTGTCGCAATCGAAGGGATTTCACGTGCCAAAAAATTTTCACTTTTTTATTTATTTATTTTTTAATAACAGTAAAGGTACTCAACATGTCTTAAAAACCACAAGCTTTTTCAAACAACAAGCTTCAAAAACAACATATATATTAAAAAATGTTGATTAAGTGCAATTTTAAACTTTAAAAACAGGAGGTGCTAAAGTGTTAAAATTTCAGACATTCCAAAGCTGCAGAAATCACAATTCACAAGCAAAATTAATTTCCATTTATGCAATTTTAACCAAGATAATAAAAAGTAAAATTAATAAAAAAAAAACCTGAAAGTTTTCAGGTTATAAATTACGCCCAAAGGAGCGTTTTTTTTTTTTTTTTTTTTTTTTTTTTTTTTTTTAACATTTTGTGTGTTACCTTTATTTATTAAAGAACTTGTTCTTCGCACTTAAACCATAAAATTCAGTTCAAGAGCAATATCGCAAAATAATTTTAAAATGAGGATGATTTTAGAATTTCCAATACACAGTCTCGCGCTGGAGATAAAAATGTTTTTTTTCTGTACAATGTTACCATTGCTCACTTTGAATCCTTGAGTTTTTTAATCAAAAATTCGTTAAAGTTTTACAAAATATGAAATCGATAATAAAAAACAAATTCCAAATTTCGGCTTCCAGATGCCCATATTCTCAGGAGGATTACGCTATTCAAAATTTGATGGCTCTAGGTAACGTTCTTTACTAATTTTTTTCTCTAGATAGCGTTCTTTTATCACAATGCTAGAAACAAGATACATTTATGCAGATTCTTGATTATTTAATTTATTTAAATATAATACAAGGAGATAATATTTGGTGGCAACAATTTGAAAAATCAAACAACGCTTGTAGTGAATCAACGCAAAATGCCAAAACGAAATTAATAGTCCTTCTGAGCAATTGCCCCTTTGGACTAAAACTGTTTTTAATATAAAAACAATATAAATTTTTAATATAAAACGTATATATTATCAATAAAATTATTTTGAATAATAATTCTCCTTATCAAATGAAAAATAATTCTATAACTTAATTTCTGAAGCTCTTCTGAGAAAAATTAGAAATAAAAGCATTTTAAAACACCCTGATATAAATATTCTGCATTTTCCGCATTCGAAAATTGAGACAATAGGCGTGAGATTCAAGGTAAACTTCAGATGCGGTTATATTAAAACACGACATCGTTCTTCACAGTTGCCAAAAATAAAGCAAGAAAGTAAAAAACAAAAATTCTCCAGATATTGGCACGAGCGCAGAAGTGAAAAAAATTAGTAAATAAAACCGCAAATAAAAGCAACTCGTGTGTGTCTCTCAAACCGCATCGATAGGAAAATGAAAACTGGCAGAATGCTTTTCTCTAAACCGGAAAAACGTCACCGGAAGTTAGAAACGAGGAGGGTATCGCCAGCCGTTCGTAATCGTCCCCTCATTCTTTTATTATGTTTACGTACGGTACTTTCGCAGCTGTTTCGATTGCTAATGTTATTTCATGCAGCTGGTTTATAGACTAAAACACTGAATTTACGTAAAACGATTCTTTTCATTGTTTGAACTGCGTGCAGGACCCTCGGAATACACATTCTGAGAGGTAAGTGCGTTTAATTAAACTTAATATAATGTTTAGAACGCTGATCGATATAGTTACTTTAAGCTCATTTAAATTTTAAATTAGTCGGTTTTGTGTGCAAACATTCCGACATTTTTTTTAACGTTTATAAATTATGTATGAATGAAATAGTTAAATCTCGTGCTTCGGATAGATATAAATAGAAAAATCGCTAAATACTTGTGAATGTGGTATTAAAATCTTCATTTCATTTTTATATCAGGAAACAAAATACGTTTTCAAATTCCGTAAGGTTGTTGCCGAAATGAATAAGAAATGAAATTCCCTGGCGAATTCGAAAATCCTTCTTAAATGATTAGTCACAGAATTGTATTTTTAACCGTTCGATAGCACTTTCGTTTCTTCCCAGAAAAATGAAATCTTTATTTAAAGAATAACGGAGCTTTCATTGCAACCTTCTTTACAAATGAGGAATAATAAATGCACTTTGAGAAGTTGCCTTCTACTCTGAACACTGAAAATAAGACTGATATATATATAATTTTTACAATTCCATTTGAGGGCTTAAGGCAATGAAATCATCGGCCTACATGTTATCTAAATAAGAAATAATTATATCCTGGAAATGTGATTTTCTAATGAAAATATTAAAATAATAATAATAAATATTTATATAAAAAAGAGGAAAAATTGAAAGGTTTCATATTAAACGATTTCCCAGAAGTGTTTCTTAAGGTTTTTTCACGCTCTGTCTGAACCTCCAGTCTGCCTTTGCACACACTCCTGCTACCCCCCTTTTTTGTGTTTTAGTTTTATTATTAAGCATTGTTTTCTTTGCACTTATGCCGCATACAGTTCAACAACAACAACAACCGAAAAAAAAAAAAAAAAAACAATTAAAAGCAGTGTTAGGTGTTCGCATACAATTTCCTATTTTTTTTTTTTTTTCAGTCTTTTCTCAGTTCATAATATCAGTATTCAGTTTTCTCAGTAAGATGTCTAGCAAAATCTTTTTTTTCTCTTTTTATTATTCACTTTTTATGTGTTTACTTTATTATTAAATATCACGTTCTTCGCGCTTGCACCACATACAATTCAACTCTGCAGCAAAATCACAAAATAACAACAGCATATCTTTAGAATTCCTGATAGAGAGTTAGAAGTTGACATGCATATTTATATACTGGCCATATTATTTCTTTAAAAACCAGCCTTTCACGCAGCAGTCGCCAAAATAGTTGTCACAAAAAAAGAAAATATATATAATGATTTTAATGAGTCCAGCTAGAGTAATTTTATAAAAGTGTTGATTATTTCTAATTAGATTAAAAAAATCACAAAAAAATAAAATATATATAATGATTTTAATGAGTTCAGCTAGAGTAATTTTATAAAAGTATTGATTATTTCTAATAAAAAAAATCACAAAAAAAAAGAAAATGTATATAATGATTTTAATGAGTTCAGCTAGAGTAATTTCATAAAAGTATTGATTATTTCTAATTAGATTAAAAAAACTCACAAAAATAGAAAATATGTATAATGATTTGGCTCTATTCTTATATGCGCCCTAAGATCACCAAATGTGGCGATGTGTGTTCTGCGCTGGTTTGGCGCGATTGCGTGTTGTATGGCAACTCTTTTGAAGTTGAATAACTCTTTTGCTGGAGTGTTTTAATTGCTCGTTGGTTCGTGTCGTGCGTGTTTTGAAGTGGACCTATGTTGCAATGACAGACGTGGTTGCAAGAGGATCTGGGAGATTATTTTTAGCGGCTGTGCATTATAGAAGTAAGGAAACGCTGATGCAGTGTATTAAAGAGTGGATTGAGCCTTGTACAACTATTTTTTTGGATGGCTGGAAATCTTACAAGGATTTAGGAAAAGAAGGTTTTTGAGCATTCATTTGTGAACCACAGTATGAATTTTCTGGATAGTGTGTCTGGCTGTCATATAAATACGATAGTGGTTATGTGGCGGCATGATGTTAAGCATGAAATTGGTATTTCTGCTGTTCGAAAAAGCATTCATTCAAGGTAAGTGCATTTTATTTTATTCTTGCTCTTATTTTGTAGAATGTTATGTTCATTGTTTTCTTAGTGAATTTCTGTCATTATTGTTGTTTTTCTGAATTGTTTGAAATTTATTTTAGTTTATTTTGTTGATTAGTGCGTCGTGCCTAGATTGTGCAATTCGTAGATGTTTTTTAAAGTTGAAACAGAATGCTATGTACATGGTAGTCTTTGAAATTTATTGTTGTTATGTTAATTTATTAAAGCGAGATGTGCGTAGTTCGTAGATTCTTTCGCTGCCTACATTGTGCAATTCGTAGATGTTTTTTAAAGTAGAAAAAGTACGCTGTGTACATGGTATTCTTTGAAATTTATTGTTATGTTAATTTATTAAAGCGAGGGGTGCGTAGTTCGTAGATTCTTTCGCTGCTTAGATTGTGCAATTCGTAGATGTTTTAAGTTAAAACATATCGCTGTGTACATGGATTCTTGTCAAATATTTTTGGTTAGAAACTTTACGTTTTTGCTATCTAAATTATTTGTTTTTGTTTTGGATTTTTAGCTTAAATTGTGTGTTCAAAACGTGGTTTTTGCATGTGCGAAAACCGTGTTTTTGGAGACATTTTAGGCTTAAAGTTCGAAATGTAAACACAAATTTTAGATAGTAATATGGCACCGTGGTGTTTCTCGCCAGAAATATTTGGCGACTTGAGGGCGCATATAAAAGTAGTTCCAATTAATGAGTCGGTGCATATAAGAGTAGTCCAATTAATTAGTTTTAATGAGCTCGAGTAATTTCATAAACATATTGATTACTTCTAATTAGATATTTTAGAGAATTTAATTGCATGTTTATATAAATCAATCCTATAAAAAAGTAGAAAAAAAAGATTGTTCTTAAGAACGAACTGTGTTTACTGCTTTTAAAACGCTTAGTTTATTACTCAACAACCGTCAGGATTAAATGTGAAAACATCTTAGGCTTAATTGAATGGCAACACGCTGGAACATTAATTTAGTTTTTGAATTAAAACTGAAAGAAAAATATCTGACATTTTCCCGAATGGCACGGTCTGATGTGGAGATAAAAATGTTTTATTTCGAGCAATGTTGCCACTGCTTTCTTTCAAGTCGTTGAGTTCGTTAATCAAAAATTTATTAAAGTATACAGCATATTATATGCTGTCGTCCACGGAAGTGTGTGTCGATGACGGAAATAATTTCTTTGCAAGAAAAAGTTGAGGAACACCTGCTTTAGAGTAAAAGATGTAACCCCCGTGCTTATGAGTAGGAGAAATAATAGACGCATAGAATCGAATAAGAATAAAACATTCTAAGTAAATAGTTCATTTATTTTCTTACAAATGGAAGCTATTTCAAAGCACTCTCTCTCAAGTGCATTATTACATCATAAAACTCCATGAAGACTATTGCGAAATTTCTTATTGAAGTACACGATTTTACGCCATTCAGAAAGTTTCTACACAAAATCATACTACTTTATATCCATCGTCATGCTGAAACATCTTACCGATAAGAATCAGCATTTTCTGAACAGAAAATGGTAAAAATCTAAAGACACAAGTTGATTCAACTTGAAAATGATTCGCGTATTAAGATTACATCGAATCATTTGCAAGTATTAAGATTACATTCGCGTATTAAGATAAAATTTCATAGGGTATGTCACGCCCAGTTTTCACGTTATTAGATTAGGGCAAATATAATATCAGTTTTAACAGTAGTATTCACAACAAATCTAAATCTCGGCATCGCTAAATATGGATGTCCAGCCAAGTGTATCGCCAAATGAAAGTGAAACATGTTTAAAGTAAAGCAAACCGAAATATGTTACTAATCATTGCTTACCTTTTGGAAGGGGGCATCAGAAATAAATTTATATTATCAGAAATAACTTTCTTAAGGCTCAGAAAAATCACAAAGGAGAGTTGTGTCACCATAAATTGTTGTTTAATTTTCCTTCTTTCGTCTGCCTCTCTTGAACATTTTAGTGACTAATTTTTCTTCTAAGTGTTTATAGCGATAGTTGATCTGTATGTTTTTTTCAGAATTGCCGAGAATTCACGTTTTGAAAGCTTTTTCTTGCGAGAAATGATCTTTCTGTGCATCGTGATTTTGGGACTGGATCATTTTGGCTTTTCTAACTACCATTTGGATGAGTTTGGGCCAGAATGTGCATTAATTTTTTCTCGCTCTCGCAAGCAATCATTTAGAGCACATTTGTCAAGAAAGGTGGTTTGACGCTATTCTTCTACAACAGGGTTTCTTAACTTTTTGGTGGTTTTCTCCATGTGTAACGTGAATACGAGCCAGTTTCTAGAAAGCCCTCCACGAAGGCATCCCTCCCCTTAGGCAGATAGCCCTATTGTGCTTTGCCATAATTAAAATACAAATACACACTTAAACGTTTTGGTGTGGGGACCCTATAATATTTAGGAAACTTTTATGGGACCCCATAAGCATTGTGCAAATCCGACACACGCGTGAGTAAAACTATCAGTTTCTTCATTTGGTACTGTAATATATTATTGCAGTTTTAGGTTTTGATTTTTAAAGTAAAATAAACGTTTCTGTTATAAAGAAAAAGCGTCGAAACGTGTTTGTTTTTTCTTTGTCTGTATTCTAAACGTAGGGACTTTAGGTAAATATGAATTTCCTACTGGATAAAAATAAGGTTATAAACTTGAGTTTTTAAAAGTAAATTGCCGCTTTCTATATAAAAACTCAGCTATTATACACACACAGCCTGTTAGAAAGCCTGAAACTTTATTCACTTTCAAATACATTATGTAAAACTATTTAGTAATTGTAAAATTATTATGATAAGTCAAAGAAATATCAAAATTGCTAAAATTTTTAGCGACCCCCTACTGCAGGTCCCCCGACTCCAATTGGCGTCGCGACCTACAGTTTAAGAAACTCTGCTCTAGAAGAAACTACAGTGTTAAAAAGCCACCCAAGCGGGATAGTGGCTTTATGCCGTGTGGAAGG